TAGGTATACTAGGTATACCTATGGGTACCTACCTCGTACCTATATCGTATTATAGCCTATAAGTATAGGTATTAGGTACTATATACGTCTATATAGTATATACTATAAGTGTCTATAACTATATGCATAAACAATAGATCGTTTAATAGATTTTTACTTGCAACATAATAGTGTTATTGATAATACAAACAAAATTATGAAAGTTTTTATCGATTTTAAGCATCACCGACCTACTACTGTGCAATGCAAAAATATTGAAATTCGATAATATTATCTTTTCAGAACTAATGTTAATTATTAAGGTTACGTAAAAAATATACTATCCTAACTGGTTTAACTCCAGTTATCTTTTTTTATTGGTTAATAATTAATTGAAAATTCGTATTTTCAGTTTGTGCAGTCAAGTATCATAGTTGTATTATACTTGTATGTATGAATTGTAAATAAATTGTAGTTTTTACACCAATAAAAACCTACTTACTGATAATATAATGAACAATTTATCTTTAATTTTAATCATTAAAATTAATAATTATAGTAAATTCGTCTGAAACTAAAATATATTAAAAGAACATAGCTAGGTAATGTACTTAAAAAAAATAACACTGCAATTTCACCGTGTGTCTGCTGTCAGGTGGAACAAAATATTGATTTGAAATTACCATTTGTTAGAGAACTTTTCATGAATCATAAACTAATAAAACAATTAATCTGGTGTTATAATTTCGAATAAATTGCAGAAACTTTCAATACAAAATACAAAATATCATATAATATATATAAGTAAATTCAAATTCAATCAAGTTCTGTTATCATTATAACGTAATATATAAAGTTAAAAATGTTGTCTCGGTTGACGATTGTAATATATTATTATACCTACTAAATAATAAATAATATAATAAGTCTACAGCATTGAAAAAATTAAATAAGTACGTTCCTATATATTATTTAGATGTATTTAGAATATTTAGATAGATGTTTAAAAAATAATATTGATTTATTAGCGACTACGTAGCATTATAGCAATAGCCAACAATACATCACATTACAATATTATACTGTATAATAATATAACAATAAATTATATCGTACCAATAACAGCCTCGAAGAGTGAACATTTCAGCCGATAAACCTCACGAGTCTGGTCTGTGCTGCTAACATTTTTTACTATAATTTTATATATTTCATTGGCTTTTGGAGATAATTAGGTTGGAGCCGTTGGAAATTTTAAACTTAAATATATATATATTATGTGTGTGTGTGTGTGTGAGAGAGAGAGAGAGTGCGCAACACACAGGGTAAATATATCCAAAGTTTTCGGCGTGGCGTCGTCCCCACGGGTCTTTCAACGGCAATCTCCAAATTATCACGTTCTATACATATTATATTAAATAGAAAGTTACAGAACACACAAACACACTGACTAGTGACTATACTGACATCGTACACACAACACCACCGCGTGCTCCCATATCAATTGTATCTATTTACATATTAAATTAATTTTTGAACATTATACTGCAGAATAATATTAAGCTTGAACATTATTTATCCACTATGATTAATGATTATAATGTCATTCTCGTACGAAATTTTAGGTATATACTATATACTGACAGTCACATAATATGACATCATCGTCAGTTGTCACCCTTACACAAGCGGTGATAAATCCTCTCAATAAAGTTGATTTCATTTATAGAAACCAAAATATTTAACAAGTACCTATATACTCAATAAGTACAAAACGGTGTTTGGCAAGGTCAGCCGATAAGTTTATCGCGAGAGGACTAAAGCGAAATCGCGTATTATACCATTTAAATAATATAATACTGCAACGTATGCACATACATACATTATTTAGATTAGACATTATATATAATAGAGACCCATTAATGTCACAGTATACATTATAATGGATAGATATAAGCCATAACTCATAAGATACTTATGTCTTAAATTGAATAGGTTGAATTGCGCAAGATAATATTTTTAAAATTTTCAGTACCTATACAACATTTTTTACTGTCAAGATTCTTGTAGGTAGTAGGTACGATCAAAACTAAAAAGGTGGGTAAATAGATGTCACTCTGCTGTACTGTAAATAAGTACAGTACAATTTCAAGTGTCTTGAATTACAACGAAATAAGAAAATCGCTACACGAGAAATCGAATATCCAATATTATAAAAATATGAACTTCAAACGCTCATAAAAATGTAATTTGACTTTCTCATAGACATTTTTTTTTTTTTGATAAAGGTAGATAACCTTATAAGGAATCTTGTATTACATTTCAAAATCTTAGATTTAAAAAGCAAACATTTTATGAATTTCTAACTCAAAATAATTTGCACCTTATCGTGATTTGATCGAAAATTCGAACTATTTGCTTATTAAAAAAAAATTGTGACTGGATTTTTAATATTTTCAAATGTCATTGTATTAAACTTCGAAGTTTTTTTACCCAATAAACTTTATTGACATTCATAGAAAAAAAAAACTATAAAAATTAGGAACTGAATATATCCGTAAACAGTTCAAAACAAATCAGTATTTTTAAAATGTAATCATGTACAGAAAATGCTAATATGAACAACCAGTGAAAATTGTATGTAAATATGGTCATTTGTTTTAGAGTTACACCATAACCAAAAACGATTTGGTCGAAAACTGATTTTACTTAAAAATTCCCGTTTTAACTTAATTTTTCTTTTCTTTTTCCCTGCGCTTTCGAAAACTATTAGGAATTTTTTACTTTTGACCCCCTAAAGTACCAACTGGCAACTAGATTCACTTTCCTATCAGTAAAGTTACTATTGAAGAAATTCTAAGCATTTTTACTGTCCTAAAAATATTATTTTAGGTACATATTATATAGGTACCTAACATTTAATTTTTTTTTAAAACATTTTTCAATCTTAATGTTTTTTTTTAGTAGATATCTAAAAATAACTACCTATATTATAATTTATAGCTTTTCGTTAATCGTTTTCTATAATTTTTAGTACCCATATGTAATTTTATCGATGTAAATAATATACTAATCGACAATATAAGGAGTTAAGTAGAGATGCATCCATGATTAAAATGTTTGGGAAAGTTGATAATATATGTGAACCGTTCCACATTGTCGTTACAAATCACATTGTCTTACAAATCTACGTACCTATACTAATAGTAGGCTACTATACTAATGCTTATTTCACGAGTCCCTTGTCCCTCGTCACATGTCTGATTATAATTATTGCAGTGCGGTGTTATCCTTTAACTGGAATCGGGGCTCCAGGGAGTTGGCCAGTTGGGCATGAGTTAAGTATTCGGTGCGATAATAATAATTGTAATTTTATCCCGTGGGTTTGTCTGACAAACTCTGAACCTTTTGCTGGTAGTCGGTAGTGTCTGAAATGGGTACTCACCTCGCGATATTTTAAGTGTTCGCCACTAGTGAGTAATGACATTAAACGAATATGTCATGTGAATAGTTTTATAAGTAATAAAGCGCATGCGAATACCTACCGGAGTACGACAAATGATTAATCGGGACAAATTTAAACTGGTTTTTGGTAATGTGTTCTCGTGTAGCTGCGTACATATATGACATGAAATGATTAATGGCAATTGAAAATCGTAATAGAAGTAAATTGTGCACAACGCATATTATAACGGTTGTGTACAAGTGGTACACGACGACATTTCAATATGTTATTTTTATAACTTTTAACTAATTATGTGGATTTTACGTAAATTAAGATTTACTGACCTTTCATTTGAAAGGTACCAACCTATTTTCCCGATAAATTTACATTCATTAGAATATTTGCAAAATAATATGTACACTAGTAACTATAGTACGTAACACCTGTATGGCTTGGTTAGATAGTTGACAGTCAGAAGATTAAGATTTTTTATCTTAAACAGTGGTCTACACTAATTATTTTCTTGCAAAAAATAAACACACTTAGGTAATACTGGTAATAGCATTAATTATAAATACTAGTATTTATAATCAATGGTAATAATTGGTATATCTTAGTCCGTGGTCTACACATACTTATGTACCTATTTCATGTTACCTATATCTGGTTATCAATTATGCAATGGCGTATTGGAGGGTTATAAATTATAAGGTATTAAAATAGCCTAACACCAGTTTATTGATTCAGCGTATATCCAATATAATTAATAGAGATACACAGGTATACGCGCAGGACGTGGTGTTATTTTTTTTTTTTGGGGGGGGGGGGTGGCACGGTAGACATTTTTTAATTTATTGAATCTATAGTCGTTCATAAGGTAAAGTTTGATACATACCAAAAAAAGTGTATCTTCTGTTCAGTATTTTTGAAATTTAAATTGCTGAAATGGCCTGATTTTGGATGGACTCCAGATTGCAATTCCATGTAACCAACCAGGCCTTATGTGCTTTATTTTGAAGTCAATATAACTGATTTTTTTGTTTTAAACAGTATAACTATGACGTACGTACGTACGTTGACACGTTAGGTACTTACGTTAAAAACGATATTATCGGAATTGGTCGAGACAAAAAAATTATACCGCCATAAGCATTAAGCTCCTCGTCGGTTGGCTCAGAATCTAAAATTATTCGATAGTGGTCGCGGGTGACATCTAGCCGTAATCCCAGGGTACTAAAGTGATAACGGTGTTTTGGTTGATAACTTAACTTTTGTAATGGACAATTATAGTGATAACAATTAAAATTGGAAAACAACTACAACTGGATAGTGGATCTTTAATATTATTCATAATATAATTTCTTAGTTTCTTACCTAATTTATTTTTATTCTCTCTCTTACTATTACTATAGTTTTTTACACACAAATCGTCTTCTTTAATAATAGCTACAGTCAAACCTATTTAAATATAACTTTTATTATTTTAAAGCAACATGAATTTTTGGCATTAAACATCAGAGCAGGTTTAGAAAAGTTACATATTTTTTCTTCTAATAACTACCTATTGTTAGGTACTGTTATGCTGGGACTTAGAAACGTAAAAAGCCGTATTCATCGCTTATGGAATATCACACAAACTGCTTTTCCAAAAACACAATCGAAAATTCCTCCCAACTACAGTTATATTAAGTAAGGGTTCATTTAATTTGTTCTTTTTTTATTGTTAAATTTTCATAGACGTTTTCAGAGTTCAACTGTGAATTCAACCTCGAGAAGTATGGAGAAAATCAAAAACCGTTTGGCTCAAGAGAGATCGCCTTACCTCTTGCAGCACGCCGAAAATCCAGTGCAATGGTTTGTATTTTACATAATAATATTTTGTTTTCTCTCTGTAGTCTTCTTAACTATCAATTTTATGAATTTTCAAATTAAATAATGAAACTCTTTCAATATAAATATAACATAATAATATGGAATCACCTAATTCTTGTAATGTTTTTTCAACTTTACTTTAACTATTTTGTTATATAGTAAATCATATAAGTAACAAGCTGGTTTGTAAATCTTACAAAATATTTGTAGATAAAAAAAATAACCTATAAATGGGATTCCTAATATATTATATTTCCCTAATGTTCCCAAAATATTAATGTAAAAACATATTTATATTACCTAATTAGATGTTTGAGTTATTTGAAAATCATAACTTAACTAATACCTACTATATTTTATGAAGGTATCCATGGGGTGATGAAGCATTTGAAAAAGCTCGTTCCGAGAAAAAACTTATTTTTCTATCTGTTGGTTATTCAACTTGTCATTGGTGCCATGTTATGGAACATGAGTCATTTGAAAACCAAGATGTTGCAGCGGTCATGAATGAACACTATGTGAACATTAAAGTGGATCGAGAAGAACGACCCGATGTAGATCAGCTGTACATGACTTTTGTTCAGGTATCTATACAAAATCTTTTATATACTTTGTCTTGCACTGTTTTTTGTTGTTCATACTTACCCACCTACGTATATACTTACTGCCTCGTGTTTAAACATTAAAATGTACAACTATTAAAATACTGAAAAGCAATTAGTAGTATTATTTATATGTGTATATAAATTTAATAAATCTGCTTTTATCAAAGATTTTAACTCTGAATTAAAATTGAAAAAATAATTATTTAAATTATTTCTTATTATGATTTATGATGTTTAGGTACTTTTATTTATATATTTTTAACAGTAAATCACCAGCTAGAAGCTATGTCCTATATGGATAAGCAATATATTTTTACATCAACTTATTTATAAATATAGTAAAAACTTAAAGCCTAAATTATATACTTAGATATGCTATACACCAGTAATGATGGTTGATGGAGTTTTTCTTTAGTAGTTAAGAGGACGGTACACCTGCATGTGTTGTCTCCGTCTTACAAATATACCAACATAGGAAAAACTGTTTTGCACGGGAAAGAACCGAGAAGGCTACAATGATAACTAAGAAGCGAGATTTTCCGCACATAAAAAGGAGAACTTTGGCTGTACAACGTTGTTTTTATTTTTTTGATATCATTCTCATATGAAAAAAGTTTTCAAGTTTGAAATACACAAACAATAATGGTTTTTGAAACAGAACTTTTTTCATATAAACGATATCAAAGAAATGTTGCACAGCCAAAGTCCTCCTTTGTATGTGGTGAAAAACTCGTTTCTTAGTTATGAATGTAGCATTCTTGGTTCTCTTTCCCGAGCAAAACAGTTTTTTCTATGTTGTACATTTGTAAGACTTAGACAACACATGCGGGTGTAGCGTCCTCTTAAGCCTACAAACTAATTATTTGCTGTATTGTGTAGGCGGCGTCTGGTCAAGGAGGATGGCCCATGAGTGTATTTTTAACACCTGATTTGAAACCAATTGGTGGTGGAACATATTATCCACCTGAAGATGCATATGGACGTCCTGGATTTAAAACTATTCTTTTACACATGGCTAAAAGGGTAAGTTAATCAAAATATATATTTATAATATTATTATGGACCGTATTTTTTTTTTTTTTACTAGTGGAAAAGTGATTCAAAGTCCATGTTGGAAAATAGTTCAAAAATGATGAAAATACTTAATGATACTACAGCTTTTGATATACAACTTGGGACTGAACTTTCTAATATTATGAAACCTAATCCTAAAACATGGATAACATGTTACTCACAACTTCAGAGAATTTATGATGATGAATGGGGTGGTTTTGGTATGCCACCTAAATTCCCTCAGCCAACAATATTAGATTTTCTATTTCACATATCATATAAAATGTCAAAATCGTCTGAGGGGAAAAAGAGCTTGGAAATGGCATTAGAAACTTTGCAAAAAATGACCATGGGTGGCATACATGACCATATTGGCCAAGTGAGACATTTGTGGAGGTTAAAAATTTTTTTTACTTACTACCATTTTTTTTAGGGTTTCGCTAGATATTCGACAGATGAGAAATGGCATGTACCACATTTTGAAAAAATGTTGTACGATCAAGCACAGTTGGCTGTGTCATATACTACAGCTTTCCAAATAACCAAACATGAACAGTATTCAGATGTTGTTCATGATATCTTACAATATGTCAGTAGAGATTTAAGTCATAAGGTATAGTATTTTCCTGATTATAATGTATTATGTATTTATTTTTACACTGTGCACTTGCTAAATAGAAAGAACTACTTAACTAATTATATAGTTACAATTTTTATTAAATATCAAAACCTACAAAATGTTGTTTTTACAATGTTTAAAATATATTAATAACTTTAAAATGTAAAAATAATATCTAGTACTATGCTATGAATTATTTTAATGTTGGTAGAGCACAACTTTTTTTGAAATCAATAGCATAATAATAAATATTTATATTTATATTCACTGGCAGATTTTATGAATAATTTAATTACAATAATAAAAATAATCATGTTTTTTAGCTAGGTGGATTTTATAGTGCTGAAGATGCAGATTCACTACCTGCAGTTGATTCTACTAAAAAACGTGAAGGTGCTTTTTGTACTTGGACACAAGAAGAAGTAAAGACACTCTTAGACCAACCACTTGATTCAAAACCTGATATTAAGCTATCTGAACTATTTTGTTGGCATTTTAGTGTCTTACCTAATGGTAATGTTCGACCAGACTCGGTAAGTGTACAGTTATGTGTTTAATAAAAATATGCTATGGGCGTGCATAGGATTTTGTGCAACATCATAGATCAATAAGCAGCCCACTTATTTCCCTCATTATGGCATAGGTAAAATATGTGCGAGGTAAAAATGTTGTATAATATTATCATATATCAATCAAATATTTAATTGAGAAAAATATTGTGTAGTATTCATTCTTTCATTATTTATTTTGTCAACTTAAAACTCTGTTTTCAATATTCTTAAAAGTTTATTCTGTGTAAGACTTTTAAATAAATATTTGATGGCCCACTAATCAAAAATACATTTCAATGCATTGTTTTCTTCACCTGTGCACGCATACGGTAGAAACATTTATAATTAATTAATTTATAGGATCCTCATGGAGAGTTATTAGGTCAAAATGTGTTAATAGAGTTCAGAAGCAAGGAAAATACTGCTAAGAAGTTTCAAATAACTGTGGAAAATGTAGAAAAAGAACTTAAAATTGCAAAAAGCATATTATTTGAAGCACGAAAAAAAAGACCTCGACCACATTTAGATAATAAAATAATAACTTCATGGAATGGTAAGAATTTCTCTCCATTTATATCATAGACTTATTAATATATGTAGAATGTTGATCTATAGTATGTTCACTAAAGCATTCATCAGTAGATATGATATTTATATACAAGCATATATTCATAATTAGACACTTTACTAGACTTTTAAGTAGTTCAGTAAATTAGGTTGATAAAAATAAAACCATGGGCCAAAGTTGATCAATAAGTGCCAATTGTTTGCTAAACTTTGCATAGTATAATAATACCTATTATGATAACCAGTATAATATATCAATCTTGCCTGTCAATATGGTACTTTTAATACCAGTGCACAAAAAAGTTTAAAAAGTATAATATTTACAATTTCCACTCCAGAACTTTATAAGTTTATTACCAGTATCATGTATCAACTTTATTGTGTAACATTTATATAATATCTTTATTTTGATTGTTTCCTATTAGGTATTTTATATATTTTATATTACTTGAACTAAGAAATACTATAAAAGTATAAAATAGTAACTGTTTTACCATAATAACTTTGAAGTAAAGATTGAAGAAATACTTTTCATTCCCATAAAATATTCTAAAAATAGTAGGAAAAATTAGCTTTATTCTAGTATGTACAATATAGCAGTAAAATTAATTATTATGTCAAACAATAAAATACGAGTAATAATATAATATTATTTAATATCACCTATTATCAAATAAAATAATATTGTTAGTGACTGTTAACTCAGCGTCAATGAACTAATATTTAGCTTAACATCATGTCTCTACATCAAACGTCTCTATCATACAAATTTGTTTTGTTGCCTATAAGACTTTATAATATGAAAGTTTCACTTTTTTATATTGTATTATATTGTATTTCATGTATTTTACAGGGCTTATGATAACAGCATATGCAAGAGCAGCATCAGCATTAAATGTGGAAGAATATAAACAAAGAGCTATTAAAGCCGCGGAATTTCTTAAAACACATGCGTGGAACAATAGTGTATTGTTACGATCGTGTTATGTAAATGAAAATGGAGATATCGCTAACATGTAATTTACAATGCAATATTGTGGGGTTTTAAATGTTAATATTGTTTCATAACTTTTTTTTTAGAGAAAAACCCATTGCTGGTTTCCTCAATGACTACGCTTTTCTCATACGTGGTCTTCTAGATTTGTATGAATGTACACTACAGTCTAAATGGTTAAAATGGGCTGATGAACTGCAAGAACAGCAAGATGAGTTGTTCTGGGATAAGGAGAAATTTGGATACTATTCTTCATCTGACAAAGATCCCAGTATCATTTTGAGGTTCAAGAGTGGTAAGATAATAATTGATTAAACATGAATGTTTAAATTTAAAATCTTCTTTCTAGATCATGATGGAGCTGAACCTTCTGGTAATTCAATATCGGCATTAAATCTATTAAGACTGTCAATATTGACTGAAAAATCTGAATACCGTTCTAAGATTGATCCTTTATTTTTGGCATTTGCTGGCCGTTTGTCTAGCAGTTCAAGTGCTTTACCAGCATTAGTGTCCGCTCTTACTCTACATTGTGATTCAATCACTTCTGTAAGCATAATATTGATTATTTTATGATTATTTTTAACTTACAACTGTTCTGTTTAGGTATACGTTACTGGTGATTTGGATAATCCTGAATTAGAAGCACTATTATCTGCAATCAGACAGCGTTATATGCCTAATCTTGTATTAGCTCTTGCTGATGAAAACTCTTTATCAGAACTAGCAAAAGGCTTAGCGATTGCGGAAAATGGTAAAGTTGCTGCATATGTATGTAAGAATAATACATGCAATTTACCAGTACATAGCACAGAAGAATTAATTGCCTTATTAGATGGGAAAGTGGAAAGCCCAGCTAGCAACTAGCTAAGTTGCTCAGTATGAATATAATTTTAGTTTTGTAACATTTTAAATGTATTTATTATTTAATATTATTATCAATATATATATATATATATGTATGCGTATTGTTTTTGTTTCAATATTACATTGTTTATTAACTTTTTGATGTTTAATATTACCTATGCCCTAGAGTAATTTTGTTCGATATTTTAGGGGGAAATATATCAAAGATCACAATAAACACTTACAAGTCAAAGTCATTATATTGACAAATTATGAGGACTTATATTTAACACTTATAATCATGTCTACTAGAGCTGGTGGCCAGTATCGAAGAGAGTGTTATACCTGTTAGATCCACCTTGACTACGTCAGTATCATAACATGAATATAGAATAATAATTCACTATTATGAGTAATTTAAAAGTAAAAAACCACTAGTCATACTCACAACTTTCAGGTATGAAAAAATGTATTCATAGTAACTAAGTAACTACTGTACCTTCCAGTAGTATTTCTCATTATGAAAATTAATAACTTAGTAAAATAGGTACTACGGTCCATGCTACAGTTCTACTTAATCCATTTAATCTTAGAAAAAAAAAAAACAACTAATATTTATAGGTATTATAATATTAAATTTGTATATCAACAATGATATAATTAATTGTGTTATTACCTACATAATGATAGAGTTATGTCTAGATGACTAGAAGATATTGTACTTGATATAAATTTATTTTTAAATTGTTTCATGTCTCCATTGCAGTGCAAAACAATAAAAATAAATAAATATTGTCATATGGCATAAGTTAAGGTAGTTTTAGATTTTTCAATATAAATATAGTACTTTTTTATTTAATTTTTGGGAAATGGAAAATTTCTTTCAAACCCTAAAAATAAAATTCCAATTTTTCCATTATTACGTAAATCAAAATCATTTCTGGATTAAAAACAATATTTTAAATAGTTTATAGCTCAGGTAATAAAAGCTATATATTTTTTAATATACCGAGTACAGACACCCAGGGCCAGTGGTCAGTGGCGTGGCGAGCATATTTTAAAGTCCAAGCAAAGTATTTAAACAATGACCCACTAACTTTAAAGCTGTATACAAATTTGGAATTTTCGTTATATGACGTCATCATTAATTTAGTATGAAAATAATACTAGAATAATTAACTATACATTTATCGGTTATCCACACAAATTTCATTAAAAAAAATAAATGTCTAGGACTAAGCAATTATTACACAAGTCCACATTGTTCACCACGCCACTAAAGACACCTTTAGTGATGTACATTGCGCACGAGGGGGGGGGGGGGGGATAGGTCGATAACTCTGGACTTTTCTTTAATAAATACATAGACATCTATGCCAAACGAAATAGCGAAAATTTTTACATTTTACAGGAAAAAATTGAAGTCAGTTTTAAATCTCATAGTATAGATACCTGTGAATAAATGGAATAAAGTTATTAATTAATCAGTTATCATCCACCAAATGATTTATTATTATCACAGAATACTCTACTATATTAGCTAGGGGACTATTTTTTTTTTTATCACAGTGTATCTCAGCGGCGTAAGCAGGATTTTTCAATGGGGGGTGGGGGCTTGAAAATTAGTTATGATTTTATTTTTATTTTGTCCAGTCTAATAATTTCAGACGTTTATTTGAGGTATTTTAAAATGCTCGTAACTTTTCAACTTTCTGATAGAATAAATGCTCTGATCATAAGCTTCGATGACCGATGTATGTTTTTGGAAGAAAATTGGATGTAGTTGGTACTTTTAGGAGATCGAAATTGAAAATGCTCAGTGCTTTTTAAAATAATTGGAGGAAAAAAATGAAAATTTATTTAAATTGTCTGGTAACCAGCTTGGTTATACCGTCCTCACATGGATTGTATTTGATCGATTGACATTTTTTTTTCTATAAATGTCAATAAAAAAATTATTTATCCGGTCAAGAAGCTTAAAAATGTAATACGTATGTTTTTATTGTTGCTAAAATATTAACGATACATAGGCACCATGGTTATTTTTTATAAGCATTTAAAGTTCAAGTTTCGTTTTTTAAAGTTATAATAATACGGATTATAGGGGGGGGGGCTTCAGACCGTTAGCCTCCCTGCGGACGCCACTGGTGTATCTATCAACTAGGTACTTTATTTATATGTTTACGTTATTTCACGGTTGTAACTCGTAGATAATATTTTATACCACAGAGGTTAGCTAAAATAGTAATAATTACAAATAACCAATATTTTAGACCTAAAAAACAGAATATTCTTATTACCCCATACACATAGGCGTGCGCAGGGGGTATGCGGCTGCATACCCTGAAGCTCTTTGGGGGGCGAAATTCGACTCTGGAAAATAACCTTTTTTGCTCTAGAAAAATAATTAGTACGTATATCAAAATATTTATAATGATAGGTATATGATTAAATAAGAGGGAAATTATATCAGACATGGGATAACATTTGATTCACGTATAGAATGATAATGAGGTGATTGCAATGCCAACCACCGTCTGACGTAGAACATGCCTATGGCCGTGCCATTAGCAAATCAAACATCCAGTTATCGGTCATCAACTGCCAAGTATTTGCAAAATGCATATTTTTTGCATTTGTCGCAGTATTTGTTACAATATTTCAGTTTTTATTTTTTAAATAAGAATATTGGATTTCATGGTCAATCAATCGATCAATACGGAACGCCTCGAACCTATAGTAAAGTAATTATCTTAAGTCCCGAAGACATCAATGGTGTTTTAAAAAACGCTACCCAAGATCCAACGCAGAATGGCAGAATGGTGTCATGATAAATTATAATTGTGGGGGACGAGGTGGCCGAGCGGTCGAACACGTCGTCTGCGGCGCTGGCGGTCGCGGGTTCGATTCTCTCGACCACTGGGCGGCATTTTTCTCCGGGCAAGTCACGGTGTCCGGAGAACAAGTGCCGCCATCCCCCCCCCACTCCGGGGCATGGCAGAAACCTACGGGTGCCACAATAGAAATTCTGCCAAACACAACACACACGTGTAATAACCCTACAATTTCAAACCCTACTACCTACAATCATAAAACCCTACAATCAAGCTACTGGCCATAGTCGCAGGGCTTTAAAAAGATCAATTAAAAAAAAAAAAAAAAAATTATAATTTTTATTTATATGATTACGTTTGTTTTTTTGTTTATACGAGTTGTATGATTATATATAATTTTTTTAATTAAACTGAGATATTTCAATACTTACGCATTGTGCATATATTTTATCAAAATTTTAAATGCTCAAAATAACTATTAGGGATCAGCCTTCTGCATACCCCGAAAAAGAGGCGATGGCCATACATTAATCGACAGACAAGTTAACGAGTACCTATAGGTTACCAACAACAGCAATGAAATATTTCTATTTGTTGTTGTGCCACAGTAGTCAATGCAGTTCTGTAATTTAAAATTACAAAAATATAATACTTTGTATTTACCTCCTTAACATGTACTATGACACTATTATGTCATCAATAAATATTAGATATTAACTTGGAGTATCAGTTTTAAACTTTTATTAAACGTGTGTTATAAAGTTATAAGAGAACTAAAAAACAGGTTGTTGTCCGATTTCACCCCACATGTCCGAAGTCCCCCCTTTTTACGGTAGTCATTAGAACAAGAATCTCTGGTTCAGAAATTTTTAAAGCCCCCTCCCCTCTGCGCACGCTTATGGTGATTTAAAATTAGTAAGGTGGTATTATGAGCAGGCTTCTATGAAAGTTGCTCATAGCAGAGTAGACTGGAGTAGCTACAACACATTTGACCGCAATTTTGCTTGTGTTAGCAACAAAACAATTTTTTTAAACATACATCCAAACGTATGCCATGACGATTTGTAGGTATGTAAGTAAACGTAAATTATAATATTCCCTACAATATTATTCCCCTCTACTATTATTCAAAAATATTTTTTGCAGGAATAAAATAAATTAGAATTTATGATGTATATTGTGTAGTTGAAATGTATTACGTTGGTTTTTTGAATTAAATTAAAATATCTTTAACGCTAACATAGTGTTTAGATTGAAAATATGGAACAAACATAATTATATGTCTATGGTTAATTCGTTAAGTTTGGATATTGAGAATTGAGATAAATTAATCTATTAAGTCCAGGAATTAGATTTCTTTCCGTTACAGTTACATTTGTTTTCCCTGTCTTATAAGTGCGTAGCATAGTAAATTTTACGTTCAGCAAAACACGTTTATCTCCCGTTAGTTTAAAAATTAGAGCGAATTGACGTCTTATAAAATTTAAAGGTAAGATTATTATCTAGACAATGACATAGGTTATTTATTATAATTTAATTTTAAAGCGAGTTATGTGTATTTTAAAATTGTAAACTGTTTGTACATCTTAAAATACTCATAACTGGCTTTCAAATTAAAATATAATATAAAGCCTACGTCATTGTCTAGACAATAATCTTACCTTTATAATATATTCAGTGGCGTGGCGTGGGTATTAAAAAGATATAAGCAGTGAAATTTTTTTTTCAAAAGTGATTAGAATATAGGTACTATACCTAAATACTTTATTATAAATTATGTATAAAAAAATGTAATAAAAAGAAAATAAAGAAATTGAAGTATAAAACTTCAAAAGTCTATTAGGCGAATGACAGTGACAGTGTACGTAAAAACGACTACAGTCTACAACGCGTCGGGCTACGTACGGCCGTACCAGTAGCTCCTTGTTTCTCGCGTAAGCAAAATCAAATGTGCTTACAAACGCTAATTAAATACGTGACCCCCACTATGGCATTGTAGACTATTCGAAAACAACAGCTGCCCGTAAGCAATTTCAGTTACAACATGTTGTATATCAGTGGCGCCCAAGATATATTTTTCAGGTGTAGCAAGAAATAATTTTACCCACCCACCCTCTCAAAACCCAAAATTTTATTATTTAATACATTTTAACACATTTTTATTGATAATATTAGTAAATATTAAGGTATTAACCAATATAATCTGTGATTAATTATGAATATATTTCAAGTTTATTATTTTTTGTTATTATACCCATCCACCCCTTATTTTCAAGGTGTAGCGACCGCTACACTTAGAAATAGGGTTGGGCGCCACTGTTGTATATATCTATGGTTACACTGTATATCGTATTATGATTATGCAGTTAACATAATACAGAATGGATTAAAAATAGACCTACAATCGATGATTTTCTGAAAATAGTTGGTAATCAGTAGACACTAGACAGCGTACGACAAAAATAAACAATAACAAAAACCACTACCAGCTATAACTTAAATATTTTATGAATGAAAAATTAAAATTTTAAAAATCATTTATTATGTACCTATTAGTCGTGATTGATCAAATTTATTTTTTCTTTCATTTAAAGTGTAAGCAGTGCTTACAAGCACGCTACGCCCCTCAATATATTATATTTTTATTATTTTATAATATTTAAAATATCTAACCGATGTAACTATATTATTCGTCCAATATTTTCACAACAATGCTATTAAATTGCATACCCATTGCGCCGTGTTAAAACTAAGGTTACAACAATAGTCAATAATTAAAAGGGGAACGGAGTGGCCGAGAGGATTGCGACGCACACCGTCGCCGGTTCGAACCCGGCTGTGGGTGGCATTTTTCTTCGGGCAACTTACTGTGTTCGGAGAGAAGTTCCGCCATCCCCTACCCGGACATGACAGGTAACTAACGGGTACCCACTAAAAAATTGCCAAACCAAAAACACGCGTGTTTACAAACCTACAATTTCTCCCCTACAAACAAAAAACAAACAGCTAAACAGTGGTGTATTGGAGGGTATACGCGGGTATACGTCGTATACCCGGATCCCTATTTTTGGATTTATGCGTATACCTTTAAGAAAATTAGTCTTTTATGGGTATACGCACGCTTCTAATTTATACCTACTAAAGTTTCAAAAATATATTATAAACCACTGCTTTATCGTATATACATACACAGTACACTGAATCGGTCGCGGTGTGCCGTGTATGGTTAAGGCTCTACATACCATGGGTATGCTATGCCACCATTTTGCGACTCTTTTATCAATGATCAAATGATAAAATAAAGGGGGAGAAATTCATAGATAATATAAGAATATTATCTTATATTATCTATGGAGAAATTCATATTCACATAAGATTATTAGTCGCAAAATGGCGGCGTATCATACCTACCTGTATCTATAGTGCCCTAGTATGGTTATTCTAATAGTTAAAAATAGATCCGTAGTCGAAAAATCGTGTACGATTATTGATAATATAAAACAATAAACATACGTAATTTCAAACTAAATGATAATGACAAATTAGAATAATAATAAAATAATTATTGTTGATGTATTGTGTTATTACTTGTCATCCAATAACCAAATTATAAAATCGAACTATTAGTTTCTCATTATATTAATTTTATAAAATATTTTATATATAAATATATTATAATATTATATGATCGATAATGGATAATAAACGTACCGCTACTTCTACTATATAAGTATTTTTACTGTACAATTTTTTTAAAATTTGATAATAAAAAGTTGTATTATTTATGATATATATATCATATATGAATTGGGAACAAGTCTAGTTTACCGGGCACATTTTTTTTTTGAAATTTTTGAAAAGGGTTGTTTTGACGAGTTAAGAACGATGGTGCAAAAATAAAATTTCGGAAATGATTATTTTGGAAGTTATAGCTTCCCAAAGTTAACGATTTTACGTTTATACGCGTGCGCGCAACACTACTATATAATGCCGCGCGGAGGACCTCGAGTTTGGCGACCGTTTGGCAACCCTTTTAAAAAAAAAATTTCAAAAAAAAAAAGGTGCCCGGTAAACTAGACTTATACCATGAAATTGAATTAATTAAAAAAAAATAATACATTGATACTTGGTACATATTACACACAGTGGAGTATATATGAATTAATTTTATGGTTGGGGGTGAATATAGGGTGAACTGGGGGGCGTATATAGGGGGGTATATACGCCACCGCATATACATATACACATGAAGAGTAAGTGTTTGTAATAAAGTAATAAAAGATTATTAAATACAAAGTGTACCTGTGTACCTAATGATTTTTTGAGTGGAGCGAGAAAATTTTTAAGGTAGGTATATCGTATATATAGGTATATACTATATTCAACTACTTTTAGGTGCGTATACCCATAAATTTATTTACCAATACACCACTGCAGCTAAATCCTTAGTTGCCGGGATTCATGATCAATTAAAAACTATTGGGAATTTTAAAATTTGACCTCCCGAATGCACCAACGGACAACGGTGTACATAGTATTAGTTTGTTAAATATAATATCTATATAAAAATCTTTAAAAAAATGTTCAAACTCAAATAATGGACTCAAAAACTTTTAAAATCGTCATAAAATTTACCTTAAAATTTTAAATCGTCAAAAAATGTAAAGTAAAAACATCTTATTCTGATTCAGAAATACATGAAACGTGTATATTATAAGATGAACATCGCGCAGCTAGATTCGCAAAACAATACAAATGGCATCGAAATCCCAGCCTCAAGCTCGCAATACCATCATACAGTAAATCTGTGTAAATAGTTTCGTGGTAAAAATAACCCAAAACTAATTTTAAAAAAATAATAATAATAAATGTTCATAGTTAAAAAATATTAAAATATCCATCATTCAAATTTATTAGTTAATAATGATTAAGAATTTAATAATATCAATATATTCTATATAGATATAAAAATTATTTTTATTGAATTATGGTAAAAA